TAAGTAGGTCTTTGTCAACACGAGTGTGTGAACGGGAATTTAAGGACAAAAAGAAAAATATCCTAAAGTAAATAGCAGATAAATTGGCTATATCCAGTAAGCAGGAATCCCCAGATACAAAGGGGTTAGTGGCATATCCATATCCATATCCATATCCATATCCATATCTATATCCATATCCATATCCGTATCCGTATTCATATCCATATCCATATCCATATCCATATCTCCAAAGATAACAGGAGGAGACCGAGTCAAGCATGCGAGCTTCGACAGCCTGGAAAAGCGCTAACATCTAGCGCCACCGCTTCTGTGCTCGATAACTCAAGAACATAATATCCAAGCCCGTGGCTTTCACCCTTTCGTCTAAGTAGAAAATTCTCTTGAACATAAATGCTCTTGTCAAAATGAAAACTTCGACCCTTTTGCCTGCACGATTGCAGGTGAACTCGCGCTTATGTATATACGTTTGAAACGATTGATTGCGATAAAGTCGCCTGGTAGTGCAAACGTGAGGATTGTTATTGTTAAAGGGTGGGGGCCGATATCCTGTTCAGGTGTGCAGTTTCGAATTTGTGTTTACAGGCAAAAACGTTCCTGAATATTCGGCGACTTTTTAAAATAGCCGAAATTAAACTAAATTAAATCCATTTCGATAATTGTCACCAAACTTATTTACTTAGTAACTTTATGCGTGGGTGAAGAAAGGTAAAAAAACGCAGGCGAGCTGGTGAATGACATCCATAGTAACCCTAAGACGTAGGAAAGAAAAAATAACCGACAGAACAAAGAGGTTGTTTTGTCCGTTTAGGTATCGTCAACAGTAACTTACTGTTGACGATACCTAAAATAAGAATGCATCCATCGTAAAGGATATTATTGTTTTAGTACCAGCTTAAGTTTACTTAGTGCCCTCTGGTGCAATACTCTGTCGAAAGCCTTCGAAAAAAAAAAAAAACACGCAGGCACACACTTGGCCATTTTTTCTACACTATGACAGTGAATTCATGAATCGTGTGAATAAGTTGTGCCACTGTTGAGTATTTGCGTCGGAAGCCATGATGATTATGTTACTAATTATATATCATATGCACACGAACGAAGAATGCTCGAACCAGCAAATTGGCTGAAGGGAAAAGTTGGGCGACTGAGGTGAGTGTACGTGCCTTCTCTGCGGAGTCCGTAACATAAAACAACACCGCGCACGAAAAAAAAAAAAAAAAATAATAAATTGGGAGGTGTTTGTTAGAGGCGAATTAAAGTAAAGAAGGTGTAATTTCTGTTGGTTCGGGGACCACGTGACCCCTTTTTTGCGGCAGCGTGGCCCTGGTGCCAGCGCGGGTCAAGGCGCGGCCGCATCGTTCGCCCATGCCTAACGCCGGCCCGGTATGCTATTGACGTTATACGGACAGGGGGACATAATTTAGGGCGACAATCGCCACGATGTCATTTAATTAACTGAAATATGTTAGTTAAGATTTAATTAGTCAAAGCCTTAACACATGGTTCCAAGGAGAAACATTTTTTCAGAGTAATCAAAAACCACCAAATTAATCAATTCGAGAAAATCTTAAAAAGGTCGTGGAACGCTCGGCGATGCGCTAAGATTACCACTCGTGTAACAGGAGCAAGGCCGGCGGTTGGATAACGCGGACAGGAGAACGTCGTTCGCATTTCCTCACCGCAAGCCTTGTGCTTCCAATATTTTTTTCTAAAATGTCTTAATTTAGCTGTATTAAATGACGCTGAACGAGGTTCTAATGGGAACTAGGCTTTTATTTGCAATATTTAGAAAAGTGCATTAGAAAACAAACGTGTCAATGATTCCGCTTATCGTGACAATTATTTCACTACATTACGCCCCCTTGGCCGTATAACTCATCTGCACAGACTGCATTAGCGATATCTATCGCGGTTTTTGAATATATATGTTCGAATTACAAGTCACACGCCCCCTATACATATTTAAATGAGTCTGTACACGATAACTCATGAGCCCATAGCAAAAAAAAAAAAAAAAAAAGAAGGGAAAAAGAGTTTGGAGCCTTAAAATGAAGTTGGTAGAACCCATGCTTTGTGCAGTCTCGGAATATCGGGTCCGCTTTTTTATGGCTGCCAACGTGACATGGTATACTTTAACATGGCAAATGTGTTTGATCCTGTATGCCACGATTCATTTGCGTAGAACTGTTTTGTGGAATATATACAGGGTTTTCCCGAAAAAAAGAAATTCCTGCAGTGTCTTTCTTCGCCGCCAAAATTAAAGTACGCATGACCGCCAAAAGCTCCGCCTCCACCCAATATAGCGGTAGCGACCTTGGCTCGTGAGCAGCGTTGGGGCCCGAGGGAGCTCGTGGAATCGTGGTCTATCCGCCGTGACTCCAAGGCGTGCAACAGAAACAGTGACCCACTGCCGGGCATACACGTGGACCTGTTGGATTAAAGTGGACTGGTTTTGGTTCTCCCCACCACCCGGGCCAATGCATACTGTTGATGCCTCCCGGATTGGTGGCGAAACGCCCGTGTTGTTGATATTTTTGTGTTGTGTTGAGCCAGAGTAAACGTATTTCATTGTGAAAATTCTCCGACAGACTGCCCAGTTCGCTGCTGTCGGCGCTTTTGCGTTGACCAAACTATACCCCGCTATGCGTGGAATAGGGTGCCCGTTCGGGCCTTTTCTTGCGACCCTCCTTGAGGTCGGAGCTGGCATGCCCTGCCCTCATCTCGCCTGACCGGCGTGGGAATTTCAACTTCCTTTTTAATCTTCAGACCGCCTGGGGTTCCTTCTTCCGGCCCCAGGGGGAGTGTGACTCCTCACCTGAGCGTTATGAGGGCGTCGCCGAATGCACTAAACGGGATGGGTATTGGACTATGATTGGTTGGAACAAGTTGCGGCCCCGAGTTTTTGAACTCGAGGAGGATTAAGACTGGATCGAGGAGAGAGACCAGGTCGGCGCTCCCGGGGCGGGGTTTGCTGCAAGTCTCCTGCCGTGTCCGGCAACGATGACAGTTCTGTGATATTTTGCTTTTATAGTTACTGTATTCACTCCCGACTAGTAAACGCTTTCGTTGTTGTGGTTGCCGCCAAGTCTCTGTGATGCGTAATTCGACATCCTCAAAAAGAGGCAAGACTTCAGGATTGTCCTCAAGCAGCCAGCATCATCACCAAACATCATCAACGGAAAGAAAAGAACCCCACTAGTGCTGTAATCAACCCCGACTTTTTTTTGTTGTTGTCTGAAGACAGAATTTGGTAAAACCGTTGGCAACGTCCTTTGCCTTGGAAGTTCAAGAACGCATGAAATGCATTATAGAGAATTAATTATAGTTCAGAAAATTGGTTGGCCACGTGATCCATGTTTTCCCACGAAATTTTAGCGAGAAGATTGAATGGTCCTACAGGTCACGTGGCGTCGATTTAATTCGCTAACTGTAGCGGGGAAACCGGATTGGTGGCTAGGTCACAAGACCTGAATGTTCTCGCTAAATTTGTAGGGTAATTCAGTTGGCGTATAGGTCACGTGAGTTTATTTTTCCGCTAAATTTAGCGGGAAAACAGACGAAATGTTTTGGCCGCAAGACGTAAATTATTTCCGCTATATTTAGCGGGGAAACAGAGTTGACGTATTGGTCACGTTTGAAAAAAGAGTAAGTAGACAGGCGGGATGGTTCGTGTTAACCGTATGTGTATGTATATAAAAAAAGAACGGACACGACGTTTTCGCTGTTTTGTGTTTGTCCCTTTCTTCGTCCGTCGTCTACGGTTCTTTCAAACTGTGTAGGTCACGTGCCGTCAACTTCAGTAAAATAGGTCAGCTTGACGTCACATTTCCGCCACTTTCTCCACTAAACTTGGAGGCAAATGCGCGAACAGACGGATGTACGGACAGAGGGACACAATTTTGGGATTGGGTGGTAGCGTTAAAAAGCATTTCATGCTTTAAAAACACAAAATCTGTGGACGAAAAAACCGCCGAAAACTTATGGGACCCTTGCTGAACCAGCAATAAGGAGTATTCATTGGCGGCCATAGCTACGTGCGCAACGGATGAGTGCGTGCTGAGTGCGACCTTCCGCAGTTCTTTTGCAGCGTGCATTTCGCACCATCAAGATTGCCGGTCTTAGCGGGCTACTAATGTGAGCTCGTTCTGAGCATGCGCCCCATGCATCACCCTCAAATATGGCGCCCAATGAATACCCTCTATGCTCCGTTCCCCCCAAAAAGAACCCCCCCCCCCCCTCCAAGGAAAAAAAGAATGTTTTCTTTTTAAACAGCCTGGGCGGGTCACGCGTGTAAAAAAAAAAAAAAAAAAACAATTTTACGCGAAAAAAAAAAAAATATAGGAGTATTGACGGTGCGAGATTTATTTTAGTTTCGGCGGGCCAAGTCCATGACGTCACGGAATGGTCATACACTCTTTTTACCTCAACGAGGTGTTTACTAGGCTCTCTTCACCTCAACATTTGGCGGCAAGGGCAGCGAACTGTCGACACGCCTGCTGAATCTCTGCTTCTGTATTCTGTAGCTGCCAAAGCCTTGTGGCCCACGAGTTATAACTTCCTCCAGGGCCTGGTTACCAGTGTGACATCTCTTCAAGTTTCAACTCAAACCGATGATTTTAAATTTTTATCGCGGGAGCCAAGCGGACAGGCTGTTCAGTGCAGCAAAATCGCCCACGACATCAGCGACGCCAGTAACATCACTTAACGCCATTTTTTTTTTTTTTTTTTTTGAGAGGCGTTCTTTTGCATTTGGCGGCAGCGGCAGCGACCTGTCGATACGTTAGCTGAGTCTCTGCCGCTGCTGCCAAAGTGCGGTGCCTGATAGTGTACCTTCGGTTTGTGCATTAGTCATGCCACGGTGCTGCGTACGCCGGTTATCTGTTCCCGATAATGGCCCATCGATCAGCTGCTCTGAATCTAAATTTACGTTTCATTTCGGCACTTGTTCTTGTGAAACCGAAGAAACGCGGAAAGTAAAACCTGAGGATTTTTGGAAAATGTCGAAATGTGAAGCGTGCAGGGGGGTCAAAGGAAGGTACAATGAAACAAAAGCGCAGAAGTCAGAGGTAGACTTCCCATTACAGCTGCTGGGAATAAGTAACAAGCTTGGCTCGCTCATGACCTTGCCCAGTGTGATTGGGGGGGGGGGGGGGGGGACGATTGAGAAGTCTGTACAGGTACTTTCGGATGCGTTTGACGACTTCCAACGCCGGTTACTTGAACAGAAAATATCAACTAAGGAGCTGACGAAACGAGAAAATCTGCTGGAGAACGTTGGCTCACTCAATAAACTTACTCAGATTAGGCAAGATTTGGATAATCTTGAGTGGCATAGTCGTCGCTTGAACGTCGAAATTCATGGCATCCCAGAAACAAAAAATGAGGACTTGATGAACAAAATATATGAACTGGCAAAAACGCTGAATGTGCCGCCCATGGCCCGAAGTGACATTTCAGCTTTGCATGGACTTCCAGCAAAACCGGGCGAAACTCAAGGAGCTATTGTTCGTTTCACAAGTCAGGAGCCTCGCGATTCTTGGCTCCTGAAGAGGCAGACACTCAAGAAAGTAAAAGACAATATATACATTTGTGAAAATATTACGCGGTTCTCCCGCACTCTTCTGTCAGCAACAAGGCAATGGGCGCAGAAGTCTGGCTATGCGTTTGTTTGGCACGGGAATGGGAAAGTGTTAGTTCGAAAACAGAACGGTGACCGAGCAGTTGTCGTTTGTCCAGAGCAGTGTTGGACAAAATACTCGATAAAAGTATTTAAGTTAAGTTACTAAATACCTGCTTCATAAAGTATTCAAAATACTACTCAAGTTACTTTCACTGTAAAGTATCTTGAGTCGAGTACAAATACTTAGAAATGTAATCAATTCCTTTTGAAGATACTTCCGCATTGTGCAATTTGAACCGACGGCAGTGAAAACAGCAATTATAGAGCTGCGCAAATCTGGTTAACCAGAACGGTTTATTTGTGTGCAACAACACAAAACGGCAAAAAAAAAAGGAAAAAAAAAACAAACAAACATTGCAGGGTTATTTTATGCAGTCCAACTATAAGGAGCAGAATATTGTCACGAATGACAAATGATGAGGCGGCGAATAACTGAAGAAACTAAACGTTTAATGGGGGCGAACTTGTGCCCAGAACAAAATAGAGAAAGGCTAGCGTCGCAGGCGTCGATGTCGGCGAAATAGCAGGCTGAAGCGCTGAAACAAAACTAACTCCGGACCAAAAAAAACAAAACAAAATTGGCTTGCTTTTATTTGTTTATACAGCATTGATGGTATAGTGTGCCTTAACAGGTGACCGGTAGCTTAGCTGTTGATGAGAAATTTAGCCAGTGCAGTACAACCACTAACCTGGGGTTTTAGCGTGCATCACGCAGTACTGATTACATATAACGCGTGCCGGTACGAAACTCATCTAGATCGAAACGGACGAGGGCGATGGGGATCGAACCAAGGAGGTTTCCAGCGCTAGCTTTCGCTACCGCCACGCGGAGCACCTTTTGTACCCGCGGGTTTCTGGAACATTGGGCGTAGAACGTTCCTGGCGTAGAAGATTCGCAACTCGATCAGACGACAAGGGTCTCAAACTTACGAGAATGTCAAGTTGAAAGAAAAAATAAAAAAGGAGTCCGCTCCCTAGAATTGAACCCGGAGGCTCCGCGCGAGAGCCAAGCGCGGTAACCATTCAGCATCGCGCTCGCTCCGCAAAGCGCGTGGCAATATCACGGATACATGTAACAAAACATTTCTGGGACAGAAATAAAAAGGTCGCTTTAGCTAAATTGACATTGCTGAATATCACGTCCTGCGGCGTACCTTAGACGCATCATGTACCTACAATTCATATTCCCAATATGGGGAGTTAACTATATACGAACTTGGGATACGGATATGAGTGAATGGTTAACGAAGATCCCACATAACAGCGACGGCCGTGATCTCACCTTCTTTAAGCAGGTTGCGTTCAGAAAGGCACTCAGCGTTGGGGGGCGCTTTGTTCGGAATCGGAGAGGTCACTTTTAGTTCGTTTCCTGTCCTGTTCTCTGCTTATCAATGTTCGCTTAGACCGTGTTTGCGAGTGCAATAAGTGATGGACTGAAGACAAAAAGAAAATAAGCAAAAGAAGGCCTAGGCGTTTTGCCGTAGAAAAGTCAAACATGCAAGCAAAAAAAGAAATTCTGTGTATTTTTTTTTTATTTCTTAATTTCTTGACAACTAAGTCTGCATTGTTGTCGAAGGTCGTTTCTCGGGCTGCGTTCCGCCTCATTGTGGCAATCCTAACTTCCGTAAAACGACCCATTTTGTTTGGGGATTTTTGGGGGGAAACTCTAGGAAGCAAAAAGCACCTTTGGGAAGGCGAGGGGAAAACCTTCATTGTGCGAACTTTTGGCTGAAATATGATTCACAATGGGCAAAAAAGCGATGTTTTTTTCACGAGCTCAACGAAAGTCACCGTAGCTAATCGGAGCTAGCAACGGGATTGGGTTGCTCGAAAGAATGTTCATGTTTGCTCGTGCCACGCCCATGCCATTTCACACCGAAAAACTCGGAAAATGGCGGAATGTCAAAAATGTATTTGAGATAATGAGTACAAGATACCTCAGAAATGTAATTAAGATAGAGTATTAAATACTCTCGATCCAAAGTATTTGCAAGATACCAAGATACTTCAAAAAGTATTTAAAATACAGTATCTTGAGTAGAGTATTTGAGATAGGCACAAGTCTGGTGCAGAGAAGGATCTTGCCAGGCTAAAGTAAATCACACGTCGTATCCTCTGAACACTGTTATATTCTATGTCAAGCTTTTCCCGCGACATTGCATCTTTGAAAAGGCGGTATCTTTCACTTGTTCACTTAAACGCCAGAAGCTTACGAAATAAAATCGATGAGATGAATTTGTTCTTATCTGAACTCAACCATCGTTTTGACATTATCTGTTTTAGTAAGACGTGGTTCTTATTTGATGATTGTGTTGCACTAGATGGCTACGGTTGTGTGTCGGCATGCCGCTCAAAAAATAGTGGTGGTGGGGTTGCCATTTATATTCGTTCAGAACTCTCATATAACGTACTTTCCGAACAGAGAATTCTAGATAAAAACTTTGAGTGTATTGCAGATAGTGCTGTGATATCTTGTTTGCTTGTTTGTACCGCCCTCCATCAGGATCCGTGGATGATTTCCTTCATTTCTCAGAAACGTTACTTGATCGAAGCGTGTCGCTGAGGTTATCAGCTGTCTTAGTTGGAAATCTCAACATTAATGATTGCACAGACAATGTATCTTACACGCGTTTAAAAGAAATATTTGAATCATATCACTGCACAAATACAACAAATGTGCCGACTAGAATTACTTCGACCACAGAAACCACTCTTGACCTTTGTGTAACAAATCTTCCTTCAGATGATTTGAGATCAGGCACATTAATGTGCGATCTAAGTGACCACTAACCAATATACTCTCTTCTGCCTTGTAAGCAGCCACGCGGCTATAAACAAGAAGCGTTAGTTGGAGATTGTACTAAACGAAATATTCAGTGGTTTATGGATTTTATCTTGTGTCACGATTGAAATATTGTTTTGAGAAAAAACAATGCAGACAGGGCATATGACGTTTTTCTATCCCATTTTATTTCCGTTTATAACACATGTTTTCCCTTAAAGGAGCGAAAAAACGTAACAACATTCGAAAACCAGGGACATCGAACGAATTATATCAAAGGATTAAAAACCGAAACAAACTCTATCAGATATTCTTAAGAAAACAAGGAGTGAAAATGACATTTGCGTATTTAAAAATGTACGAAATAAACTAAACACTGATATTAAAAAATGCTAAATGTGAATGCTACATGTAAACGTTTTCGGAAGTTATGGGGAATCTTCGCTTGATGTGGCAAACAGTAAATTAGCTAAGTTCTAGGAACGTCTCGCGAAAAAAAAGTGCCATTTTACGATGAGGCGCTATCGGAAGAACAGATGGCAAACCGGTTTCATGCCAACTTTTTTATTGCTGGTGCCCCCCTAAATGACCGCGTAGATATACCATGTGAGCAGTTGCTAAGGACAAATTGCCTACATTCTTTCTTCTTGTATCCGACTGATCAGTGTGAAATTATAGATTTAATTAGGGCACTAAAAGATGACTGCGCTTCCGGTACTGATGATATCAAGCCTAGACCTTGAAAGGACGTTTGTGAAGAAATCAGCTTTCCACTCGCTCACGTTTGTAACCTCATTCCACCTACAGGCGTCTTCCCGGACAAAATTAAACATGGACGTGTGGCTGTCATACACAAAGGTGGACCAGTTAAAGATCTACACAACTATAGACATATTTTTGTACTTTCAGTTTTCTCAAAGGTAGCTGAAATTATTATAAATAAATGACGTGCTAAATTTTTGACTTCACATAATATTCTAGTAAAGGAGCAATTTGGCTTTCAGAAAAAGATACGTCAGCAGAAGTTGCACTGCTTGGAATAAAAGAACAAATCCTTGAGAATATAGAACAAAACGTATATACGCTAGGTATATTCCTTGACCTTAAAAAGGCATTCGATTGCGTTCAACATGACATAATCTTAAAAAAAGCCAGTTCTGCAAAGTCCGTGGTGTTGCGTTATTATTATTTAAAAACTATCTCGCGTCGATAACACAGTATATAGCCATAAACGGAGTTAAGTCAGACCTTCAACGCGCCAGATATGGAGTCCCCCAGGGATCTATTTTTGGACCTATGCTGTTTTTTTTAAATACCAACGACATTGTAAACATACATGGTAGTTCAAATGTAGTATTATATGCAGATGATACAAATATTTCTTTTTCTCCGGTGTAGACATGCACGATCTCTTTGGAAGGGCAAAAGAATGGTTGATGGGTTTAGGCAAGTGGCTTAAATCAAATGAACTTTATTTAAACGTAGACAAAACTAAGTACTTACTATTAAAACCGAAAGGAATGCCACTACTGTCAAATATTAAAGCAGAATTACAGGACTCTTTCATTCAAAAGTCTTCAACATGATTCTTGGGAGTTCAATTCCTCGAAAACTTATATGGACACCGCATCTTGATTCGCTCATAGGAAATCTTTGTCGAACTGTTGGTCTTTGAATAGATGAAGATATTATCTCCCCCCAAAAGCTAAACGTCAAATTTATTTAGGCCTCATACACTCCCGCATAAGTTATTGTCTCTTGCTGTGGTCAAGCACGTCCCGAGCAAATTTAGATCGTGTCTTATCTATACAAAAGCGGGCATTACGAGCAATTAGAAACATAGAATTTTTTAGGAATGCCACACCATACTTAAGAGCATACCAAATATTAAGCTTAAGAGATCTACACAAATATAAACTGTCCCTCGAGATTTGGCGGCAATTTCATACTGTCAAATTGTTGTTCCATGCAAAGTATCCCGTGAAAATTGGCCCGTACAATTTGAGACAAAATGTAATAATCAAATCACGTTCATGGACAAATTATGGAGATCGTAAGCTAAGTTTTAAGATAACAGGTTTTTTAAACAACACCCAACTATTTTGGACTTTTTAAATAGTGCCAGGTCACCCCTTAATTATAAACAAAAGTCTGAAATAAATTTTATTTAGGGATGAATAAAACAACGAATTTTTTTCTAAACTTCTTGAATGATAAATGCATGTGATCTCACAAAAAGTGATATTTTAAAGATCTGTTAAAGA